ATTGTTCTTACTCAACATATCGTTAATTTGATTATCATAGACTTAAACAATTTAGTTCAAGAAAATGTATTAAATTTGACTTAAAATAATTAGTTCATTATTTACTAATGTATACGTTAATGTATACGTTGAACGATGTTTACTTTGAAATTAATTAATTACAGAAATAAATTGGACATGGAAGTTAAAAATAATAAAACGTTATTTGGTTATGTTATCAAGGGATTGAGTTACCATTGTTCCTGTGATATCTATAACCAAGCATATACAACTTGTCTAATTGTACCATGATGGCAATCATGACTACGTTTATACCTTTTTTAGGATTTAATAACATCCGTAGTTATGAAACTGGCTGATCACAGTCATTTCATTCTTCAGAGGAATGAATAACAAAAAATCCAAAAAAATCCAGGGCAAATGAGAGTCACATCACTTGTGTATTAACTACCACGCTGACTCTCATTCACCCTGGGTTTTTTTTTTATTTTTTATTGTTGATTTTGGAAGAATCCGTAAGAGGATTACATTATTACTATTATAAGAAATAGCTATGATTGACTAATTTCATAATTACGGATATTACTATTACTAAACTTATCATATAAACATAATTCATGTAAACTACGAGATTTCTCATTAAAGATGAGAATTTGCCGAGAATCGCGTGTTGAAGAATCAATGGAAAAAGAAAAAATTTTTAATGTGAAGCGGAGAATCCGCGTGCAGCTAACGGGACTTCTTGTACGTCGCGTGTACGTAACGCAAAGCGAGATTGTACCTGTTTGCGGATTAGCGACGCAAAACCGGTATCGATGCGTCAGCTTTTGATGAGAACGTGACCGTGGAAAGGGAAAATTAATCGCGTTCCTTTTTACCTTCCCAGCTGTCGGTCTCACATGTTCATTGAGGATCTCCTTTCCTCGACAGATATACCAGGCGGACGACCAAAAGTGGCGTGATTGCGCACGCGTTTGTGATGTTTTTCGTCTAGCACGACATGTTGTTCACGCGGATTCTGTTTCGCCGTAATTGCGTGTGGCGTTCGCCGCTTTTTTAATCGAATCAAGCAGACCACCTCGTAACTCGCTCAACCGGTGTCCCCGGAATTCGTGATGCGTGCTTTTTTAGATCCGTGAACGGTTCGAAACGCGCGAATCCTTTATGTGCGGAAATTCCATTCGGGTCACGGACCGTGCTCGGTACGAATTGATTTCTTACGAACACGTTTGCGTTGACGTGATCTTTTTGTTACATTCGTATTTTCGCAAATACGTGCGCTTTTCAGATTTGCACGACGGAACGTTATTTTAAAACGGCGTCGATGGGGTTTTAAGACGTGAAATTTAAACTTCAAATTTTAAATAAGAAATTATCAAATCACAGTTAAATTTGAGAAGAATAATCGACTATGATTGGTCAATTTGTTATGGTTTAAAGCTTAAAGTTTAAGTTTTACGCCTTAAATCTCATTGTTTAATAGACTTTCTACAATAAGCTATTACCTAAGCTTTAAGTCTTAAGTAGTAAAAAGTTGATTAATCACAGTCAAATGTAAGAAGAATAATTTATTACGATTAGTTCAGGAAATGACTCATTGTAGTAAGCTCATAAAACTTTTAGAGTGATTCTCACTCTTAAGCCATAGTCAATTCTTATATTAAGAATTGGCTTAAGTACAGTCTTAGGGCGATATTCATAGTTTATTTTTATTAAGATTCGTTATCTTAAACAATGTCTAATTACAGTTCTCCGATTGATTCATGACATCTTAAGATGATCTTAAATATGAGATCCGACTATGCACTGATCTTAAATATAATATTTTTGGTACAATCTTAAGATGTTATGAATCAATTACAGAGTAGTATTAACATCTTAAGACACTACTTAAGACGATCTTGAAATAAGAACAGATTATATATAAATACCATCCTTAAAGATTAAAAATTGAACCTTTTCAATTTTCACTCTTTAGAAAAAGGACGGCAGCAGAATCTTAAGGCTTAATGCACATTATAAAAAAATGAATTGATCCGAATCCTTCATTTTCTTTCTTTCCAAAAGAAATAAAAGACCGGCGGATTTTTTTATGCATTATGCGTTATAAAGGTTTATGCTCCGGTCTTTAGATTCCACACCAAAGAATTTAGAGGGTAGAAAGAAGAAAAAAATGTGAGAAAAAAAAAAACAAACCGGACTCTGGCAATTGTGCGAATCGCCTGGAAGGGTTATCAGCCGCTTCGTATCTTTCTGACAATTGGAGCGATGCCATCGCGACAATAATACACCGACAATGACTGCTTCCGCGGAACCGTGAACAACCGTGGAACGGAAACGTTTTGTCAGCGGCCTCGATTGGCCGCTGCGCAAAATCATTCGCGAAAGGATATTCATAAACGCGTATAATCGTCTCTCTTGTCAGTTTAATACGCTGTATAGTCTCGATATGAAGCGTGGAAAATTAATTGAAAGGTAAACGATGTGTAGGAAGTGCAAGTCTGAAATTAATCAACTGTAGAATATAATTTGAATAATTCTAGTTGTAATTCTTGCGAGAACGAAAATGATATCAGATTGCTCTAAGGATACTACCAGTTACTTCCTACCTCGTTAATGTTTCCTTTTTACCACTTAACATCGTCGCATCGTTAAAATCAAGCTGATGTTTCAATTACTACTCCTACGTTAGGCCTCATTCTATTCGGAAAACCGTCATTAAATCCTCTATCCATTACGATATCATGCGCATTACTATGGCATCACAGACAGCATTACGGCAGGTCACGCACGTTTCCATCGCAAAATTCCGAAGTCTGATATTATTTCATATGTATATATTTCCGTCGCTATTGATTAATGAAAAATCGGACTGACGGTATATCGGACTTCAGTTTTCTCGAAATTTAAAATTCAATCATTAGAAGAAATAGTTTTTCTTTAAAGCGATCGCGAGGAGGATTGCTCCTCTTGTCGGGAAAAAATGAAACTTTCGTGTCATTGTCAAGTCCTTTTATTTCGATTCCAGTTTTTTTGCAATTCTATTGATAAATATTTCAAGCCACTTTACTAAATTCTCGCCTCTGAAAGTGCCCGAGAGGATTCTTCCGAGAGGAGAATAGATTCTTTCTCTGTTTTTCAAATGATGGAAACCGGACGGTGTGAAACGAACGTATTATCGTGTAAACGGATATGCCACGGAACCGTTACGGTTACTTGAAGCCGATATGTCGGGTGCTCGAGAAACTAGTCGGTTTCGAGTCGACACTGAGCTCCTTTAGAATTATCGTCGTTGGTTATGTTACGCGATGAGGAGACCGCTTGGAATTAACACCACGCGGCCGTTATATCGATTACGGATTGAGTGAGCAATTATGCAACTTGTCATTGCCTTTGTAAACACACGCCAATCAACGGCTCATTCACCGCTGCCTTCGACTTCCGTTGCCGCCGTTCATGCTCGAATCCCGATTGAAACGATCGCAACTCGTGGTACTTTGCAGCTTTTTCATCGCTGCTAAAATAATTGATCCTGATAGAAAGTCTATTTTTTATTTCTGCACTAGAAATCTCTTTCTCGCTTTTGCCAAATATCAAACATATCTATCTCATTTTAAGTTCTAAAAGTGTTTACTAGATTAATCATAGAAGAAAACAGATCTAGAGAGTTCATCATGATGTTAATTTTGAATGTTTTTCAGCTAAAACACAGATGACAATGTAATGTAGTGTATCATTACATTTTTATTATTTACCAATGTTAAAAATAAAATGATCACTGTGTCACACATCTCTTGCTGCAAAGCACATTTCTGACACTTTTAATTCATTCACACTTTTTTGAGATTATTAAGGCTCGTCTAAAAAAGTCGTAGTTGGTCGTAGGGCCTCAAATCGTAGGAAATTGATCAATTCTAGTCGAGTATTTTCGTTATATTTGATTGTGGTTGATCAGTTTCCTACGATTTAAGACTACGACCGTCTACAACTCCTATGTAGACTTTACATTTTTACAAGACATATATCATCGATCTCCTCCAAAGAAAGATTCGAGGATTACAGACTCTTTCTCTCTCTTTCTCTTTTCTGAGTGTTAGAGTTCGCGGATTTTCCTTTTCGCTTGTTACCGAACCAACCGATGCGAAAATACAGAGGCAACAGTAAAACCAAGTCAAGATCCAGTTATATCGGGGGAGAGGGGATTCGTATTGAAGACACGCTCGGCATAGTAAGCGGAAACGTAATCACAAAGCCCCCAGAGGGGCGGCCAGCTTCTCGCTGAGAGTAGAGTTAGGTAGCGCAAAGCTATGCATGCGCTTCGTGTCTGTCGGTTTTTTTCTTCCTTTTTGCTGCCGATCGTGATGTGATTAGATAGGAGCGAAGCGTGCCCCTTCGTTGCGTGTTAATCGCCGGAAAATCGCGCGCATTTTTTGCATAGCACGGCCGCGCCGTTGACCTCCGGCAGAAAAATGGGAAAGCCAGAAAGGGATAGGTGCTTGAACCTTTACGTTCCATGTAACAAGATTGCGGTTCTCTAAAACTATCGAGGTTGCCGAATTATTCTTGAAATCGCCAGAAAATTGTCTAGATAATGTGAATTGATCAATTCTATTCGATTGTTCTGAGGATGAGAACGAAATCTTCAGATATTGTCTTATTCATTGAAATCAGACTACTGAAAAAAAATTTACTGCATCTTAATACATATTTTTTTGAATAGTATTAAGTTAACACACAGTAAATAAAAATTTACTCAATAAAAAAATGTTAGTTAAATCACAAATTAATGGTTTTAACAAATAAATATATGTTTACATTTAGTAAATATTAGAATTATTCAAACAAATATTTATTAAGATTTGATATTTTTCTTCAGTATAGGCAAACTCCTAGATAAGATAAGAGTTTATGCAGAATTATTATCATTGCTGCATGCATTGCCAATCCCTTTATGAGATGATAAGGGCTAGGAAATTAACCCACTCATTTCTCGTTTGCAGATGCTTCGGCAGAAAAATTACCTCGCCTTAGGAGTGCTCGGCTGCATCCTCCTGCTGTCGACAACTACCGCGGACAATAGCGTGCACATACTATCGAAGTACGGCCACCAGACGCTTACCTCAACCACGCTCAAATGGCTACCGGTGACGCACTACAACCCGAGCGATTCGAAGGAGATAATCATCGGTGGCAGCGAGAACGTACCGGATAGTCAAGGTGCGACGATAATACACCTGGATCGTCACAATGCGCGCAATGTGCCGCGCAAAAGCCGAGGTCAGACCGAACGAGTGCGAACAAACAGAAATGAGCAGCTTGTTTTTGATGAATGTCGCCGGGTTGACGTTTGTATTCACTGAAACAAACCGTTCATTCGTTCGTTTCCTTGGCCTGGATGGATTTGACTTACGTGAACTATTAATTGTGCATCATGTCAGACTCGTCACGTTCGTTTATGCTTCATTCAGAAATCGAGATACTCAGGGACGCGCTAGATTTAAATACAATTTGCGAGAATATTAGTGTCAAAGTCTAGACATTTCAAAGATCCCAGAAGGTTTGTGGGTTATCGTCGTGTTTTCATTCATTACTAACGTCAACGTTTCGTAAATCTTGCCGAGCGAGGAGCGCACGTAATGAAGTGAACGGCAAAGTTCACGAAACGTTGGCATTAGTAATGGATGAAAACATGGCGATAACCCGCAAACTTTCTAGTATCTTTGAAGATAATACCTATGAAAGCCTAAAAAAAGCGAGTCTAGACATTTCTTGTCGTGCGAGACAAAAACGTTAGATCTTAAGTCTTGTATCCTCAATGCTAGAAATCTCAGATCGAGATCTCGGAGAAAGAATTGACCAATCGCATTGACCATGTAATCGATTTGTTAATTCTTTCTCTGTCTGAGATATCAGATCGATTTCTATCGTGGGCACGAGGCTTAAAAATCGAACTATCTAGTGATTGATGAGACTGATTGTCTTCACGCGGACTTATTGCAGATGAGAATTATGCTAATCAAGCGGAGGTAAAGAGACTGGTGCTTTACGTGTGCCGCGCGATGCATAGTGGCGTATGGGTGGCCGGTACACAGAAAGAAAAGGAGAAGGTCTGCACAGTGACAATACATGGTGTTGTACAATCGTACGAGAAGTATGAGCTACTGGAGAACGTCGATGGGGCGGCGCGGATTTCGTGGATTCAATGGAACAAGTACACCCCGCCTCCCGTGGGTGCGGTGTACGTCGATAAGACAATGCTGGTAGCTCGGCATGAGGTCCCTAAAGATCTGGAGAAACCGCGGTACACTCACTATATCGGTACGCTCAGTTCGCCTGAGAACTTCGGTACTATCGTTTATGTGAACGAGGTGAGTATCGAGTTCTTTCGAATTTTTCCGAATTGATAAAAGAGAAAAGTGCATTGCCGTCTTCCTGTTTTGATTCCGTCTTGGCAAAACGTCAGTATTAGAAAACAAGATTTCAACAAGTTAAACTTTGGAAGCGCGAATAAATAAACTTCTCGTTCAAAGCGTGTTGCTAATACGATAAGGATTGATGAATAGGAATATCGCATTAAATTCAATTTATTGATTCTAAGAATTTTTTTCTTTTTTTCAAGAAGCAGTTAAGTTCGTGGCAGATATGCGTCATATTAATGACAGCATAATTCATTCGCGAAGTAATTGAGTTGCCGACGGTGAACGCATAAGATTCAGTTTTCTTTTGCAGAAAGGCGAAGAAGAGTCTGCGAAGTCTGGTGAGCTACTGGTGGAGGCCGAGCCGATCCGTTATGAGCTCGGCTCCGTTAAACTTAATTGGTCTAAGAGGCGCGATATTAAGCGCGTACCTCGCATACTCAGCGAGGCGACGATCGTCAACCGTGGAGCGGAACCGGCAAACTTGGCAGAAGCCTGTGTATACAATTACAAGTACTCGGTCTACTGGGGTCGCAGGCACGCCATCTTGAACGGCTTGAGCACCATGATCACGCTAATTAACGGCACATCCTTACCGAATATAACATGGGGTACGCGCGATGACGAGAATCGCACGGAGGCTTACAAGTAAGTATCGTTTTAAACTGTCATGAGCAATGAAGTTGAACGGCAGATATGTAAATTTAGAGCTTTTCTTTATGCGTACTCAGAGATAAAATGTTTCATTTATATTCTAAAAGATAGCGAGTCAAAGTCACATAGAAATTAAAGTGACAAGTAACATTTAAATTTTATTTTTGAAGCGTTACGGAATTGCTAATTTAAATTAATCCTATCCTACCTATCTCCCCACGCTTGCATAATGATTGCGAACATGATGAAGTGTGGAGCTTCTATCATCGCGTTTGCGGCGAATGAGCAGATCAAAGGCGGATAATCGTGAGGATTACGACGCGAATTAGCAACATAGAACGTTAAATGAGTCGAACAAGCGTATGATTTGCAGCGATTCAGCTCGTAATCTCATCTCATATCTCTATAATTAGGTATAATTAGAGATCAAATTTATTCTGTAATGTAACTGTATCTCTATTTTTCTCCCCCCCCCCCCCCCCCCCCCCC